AGGGTTTTAGGTATTCTACCTGTACTCTATCATACAAATGTTTACTCGGTTAAGAGAAAGAAGACTCCTCTCTCCTGTGTAGTCAGTATCTTACCTGCTCCCTGGCTTGTTGTGATTAGCTTGTAATTATATCAAAATGTAAATTTATAAGATTGTCTCTAGCTAGTGTAAGATTATATATAAAGTAGATACTCATGCAAAGTAATTGATTAACATTTAAATGATTTTAGGGCTATAAGTGTAGTGAAACCCTTTAAAAAAAACTACACGTGCACACATTGTATAACATGACATTTCAAGCTTGACAAAAATAATAAAAGATAAAACATGAAATCCAACATTCCCCCTCTTGGTCTATCATAAATGATAGACCAACTACACATCGAAGGCTACAGATATTTCGTCTCAGCCAACTGCAGGTGATCCTGTCCTGACGGCGAGGAGTCATCACTGGCCTGAATCACAGGACACACCGTACCTGTCCCTACCACTCCAGCAGAGTTAATCATCCGCGAGACTGCCACCTTAGCACACGGTGCAACGCACCCCAACAAGACATAAAAAAGAACAATAATAGCCAGAGGAGGGGCCAAAAGTTTGAACAGCACCTGACTCCAAGAACCACTCGTGTACCATGACAAAAACTCCAGTGACCCTGCAGGAGGATCCTCTGCCTTAGCCTCCCGGAGCCCTCTCAGCTGCGACAGGGCCTCTGTCACCCTGGCCTGGGGGTCGGCACTACTCTCATCAGGGATGTAAGTACAACATGCATCCTTACCAATAATCTCACACACTCCACCCCTAGACGCAGTTAACAGATCCAAAACCATTCTATTCTGTAAAACCATCACCCTCAAGGCGGACAACTCGACCGAAATGCCCTCCAACGCCTTAATTGTTGAATTAATGAAAATTCCAAAACGGTAATCTAATGTTTCCACCCGTAAAAGGAGTTTACCAACCCCAGCCCACGGAAAAAGTGAAAGCATGACCTTCTCCCCCGTCGTCCAGTGTTTAAATTTTTCTGGCACGTCTGAACCCCAAATCGAGTCGTGCGGCCTGATGCCCACAGCCCTCCGTTGCCTGACATAATGGGAGCCATTACTTACAGACACCAGAAACTATTCGTCTGTGACCGCCACAGGTGCGCAGAGACCTTTCCAGTTAGTGGGAAGAGTTAAAAGCACCGCATGCCCACACAACCAAGCCAGATCCTCAACGGGAAATGTTCCATTCTTCCCAGGTACCCCAATGTGATGATTACCAGGGTGATACACCGCCTGACACTTCTCAGGGGGCAGCATGCCCACTGCCACCTGAAAAGCATCCTGCCGGTGCTGTCGGTGCACGCAAATGGGAAACTGCTCACTCGAGGTCACTCCACATACTGACAACACCACCACCTGTGCTGCCTGCGTCAGATCGTACCGCTTGGCCTTACACCAGTGTGGCTCCCTACTATGTCCACTGGAACTGTATTGCAGAAGACAAAACGATCGCCCCCGATCCAGGGGTTTAACATGTAGGGGCAAGTGTGAAGCTGTGACCGGAAGTTTGGTGCAGACATAACATTCAGAATCATGGCGCCCCCTGGCTAAAAACTGAGCATACCGATACCAACTATTCATCTGAAATGCATGGGACAAATTCAACGGTAACTGATCAATATCTCGAACCGGGGACCACGCCCCCATCCTAGGGATCTCTCTCTTGGTCT